ATTGGCGGCTACTACTCATATAACAAGGCAACGTACGACGGCAGAAAGCATTGGCAAATTAATTATGTTCCGTCAATTAATCCCGGTGATATCTTCCATTAATTTATCTTATTTTTCTTCCGTTATTATGTATAGCTAAATTTAAAATTAGGGCGAACAATGTAACTTAATTGGAACCCTTTATTTTGTTAAACTAAGATTCTAGTGCTTTAATTTTATATGTGTTGATTTTATTGTTGTGCTTAATACTTTTAATTACTTGATTACTAATTAGATGATTTGTGAACAATAATTACGTAGAGATACAGATTATTTGTTTAGACCACATGCTAAAATCCGATAAATCGATATAACGTGTAAAGATACCTATATTGATTGCTGTGGTCGTGTGTGAATTCTTAGAACCAATGTTTCATTTAATTAAATTTAATTTGCATAGAGATATGGAATTGAACTAATTAAATAGGCTCAACGAGAACTCGAGAGGGGTTAAGTTGAATACCATAGAAGAATTCGACCGAACACTACTTTAGGTTGTATGAATCTTGATTTATGAAATAAAGGTAACCACTAGGTGAAATTGTTCCGCCCTAATGCCCGTTTATTATTTGAATTCTCGCTTATTTTCTGTTGCATCCAATCACGTGTCAATAGGTAGTTAGATTAAAAATCAAAATCATTCACATTTTTATTTATTTTCGTCAAATAGAATTTAGGAATAATAAATTGAGAGCTAAAGTATAGTCCTCATGAGAACGATAATCCGGACTCAAAAGGTCCACTTTACTACTTGTTACGATCCGTACACTTGCGGGATAAAATCGATAACAATTATCATAATACCCAGATAGTTTCTTGATTGCATTGCAAATTATAAACTTGGAACAAAATACTCCAAATATATTCCACTGAAAACATACATAACTATTAGAAATTAAAGACAGCAAGAAGTTATTGTGGGGATTTTAGGGATTCGACTTGAGCCTTTCCACAAGGGCCCCTTGTCCTGATATAGAGTCTGTATTCATTAAAAGTCATGCATGGATAGAGTGGGGGATGATCCTCTGTGATGAGCTCCTCTGCAGGTTTTATGGGTATGTCACCTCTTGGATTGTAAAAAAAAGCAAGTGAAACCCTTTCTTTCTCTGCATTTACTGTCACTCTGTGCTCCACACTTCTGTAATTTGCATTGCTCACCACCTGCCGTATATGTATAAAATCAACCAAATATATTTATTAATAAAAGATCAAGGGAGTTCATTATATAAAACCAAAATCTGTTTTTAATTTCTACCAAACAGGGGTTAAATATGATGAGAGAGAGAGAGAGAGAGAGAGAGAGAGAGAACCTGCAATTGATCTCCCATGTTGATAATGAAGGCGTTAGGAAGTGGTTTAACAGTGACCCAGTTATTTTTATGGTGTACTTGTAGGCCTGATACATTTTCATCTGGGAACAAAAGGGTCATGCCACCAGGGTCAGAGTGTGGTGAAATCCCTAATGTAAGCCCGGGTTCCGGGCATTTAGGGTAATAATTTACCCTTAAGCATGCACCCATCTTTTCATTTCCTCCAAAAGCTTCTTCGAGGTAATTTTCTTTTAGCCCAAGATTTCTTGAGAAAATCTTCATTAGTTTTCCACCAAGTTTAACCACTTCTTCGCTGTACTTTTCGACCAATTCCCTGCAAGAATTTAGCCCGTTGTCACTAAGCTGAACATGAGAGCATTAAGCCAAAAAACCATAAAATTTTGTATATTGTAGTATCCCGTGTAACTAACAATTAAATTTTCCCTTTATAGAATGGCTTCTCTTTTAATCAATTAAATTTATAATTACTTTCACCTAATCTGAGTTATAATTCTAAAACCCCATAAAAAAGTCGAATTTTTTTCCTTTTTCTTTTTGGTATAAGGTCGTGGGATGGAGCATGAGGTAAATTATTAGCTTTGTTAGTCAACATAGGCTACCATGAGATGTTCCCTATAAACAAGGAACAAAACATGACATTTCATACGTTTTGTCCCTGGTATAACCTTGGTGTTTCGAAAGTTAAACACGCTATGAGAGTTTCATTTTGGAAATGATTCTCCGATATGTTATTTGGACGTATCCAAATATATCTATTATCAAATTTTTGTATGCTCTAGACGTCATTTGGGAGCGATTTTTCACCCCCAAAAATTGATTTTTTTGACTGTTATTTCATTATTCTAACAGTACTTTTTGACTTATTCACTTACAGGTGACCCTCACTTTTCTCCTAACGATCAAAAAATCAATTCTCAAAATCAATACCGAACATGCCCTAAATCATAAAATAATTTTCCACCTGATCCCATTGAAGGTAGAACACATTTAGCTGGAGATAAGGCCAAGCTCCCTCCTAAGCTTTTATGTGTGTGTGTGTGTGTGTCTATATATATATATATATAT